ACAGGGATATACTGGCAAATAAATATGGGGCAAATGTAGCTGTGACACACAGTCATGTAAGTCACATGTCTGGGGCCACAATCCCTTTACTCTGCTGTACTTCTGGAGCAATACTACTGAAGTTAATGGAGTGACTCTGGATTTACAGTGGTATAAATAGGAGCAGAACTTGGCCTTGAATGTGTACTAATAAACTAATGTGTGCTGGGAGGAGGGCCCTGCCAGGGTGGCCTTGGATGGAGCACCAAAAGGGCCATATGCCACGGGCCCCTCATTTGAGAGGCCTCCCAAACTGAGTGCCATTGCAATCCAGCATCTAGGGGTTGCAGCACTGCTCACTAAAATATGGCCCTGCTACCCCTCCACCAGGAAATGCCTGGTCAAACCTGAGTGACCTGTGACCTCACATGTGAAGTTGCAATGCTTAGAGCAGGCAGGTGGGCCCAGCCCTCTGGAACAGGAGCTGAGCCACCTCTGTGGGCTAAGTGCAAGTCAGGTTTGCTGTCCCAGCCCCCACTCCTCCTTGACAGTAATTTATTTTGGAAGTATGAGGGTGAGGGCACCCCTTCCTTAGGTGCCCCAAGCCCTCTGTGTGGCTTAGGTATTCATAACTGAATTTGAGCTTCTCAGCCAGATTTTAGTCTCTGTTACTCTGAATTTATACCAGTGTTAATTGATTGACTTCAAAGGAATGACTGCAGGTTTGCACTAGAGAAAGAGGAATTGGAATGCCTTTGACTTAAGGTACTCTGGATTTACATCAGTGTGGTATCAGAATCTGGCTTGCTGAGGCTGATCAGAAAACATAGTGAATGGTAAATAACTATAACGTGAACTGATCTGGCATACTGAGGCTGTTCCAAATCAGTGTTGTTTATACACCCAGGAAATAAAGATGAGAGGTAACAGGAAAAGCACTCAGTCAGGCACACCCTACCTTATGTTACACCCTCCTATTGCTTGCTTTTCCTGTTACACCCTTCCTTATGCGCCCTCACTGTGTCAATTACACTCATTTTTTTAGGCGCAGAGTAAAATCCTACCAATTACAAATGCAACAAGTGTCAATTAAGATACAGAAACCAGATTCTGATTTGACTTATTCCAGTATATGAGTATAAACACCATAAAACACACTGCACCTACTCTGGATTTACACTGATAACAGAATAGAACTGATCCATCATATATGCCTGCCGGAGCACATAAACTGAAGGTGCAATCCTGACACCTGAACTAGCCCTAGTTCAAATAAGTGATAACAGGATGGCTGAGAGGGAAGGCAGCCCACATATTACATGCACAGATACCTGCTGCAAGAACGACACTCATACTCATTATAGGAATGTCTGATGTGTCTTCAAAAGCATCACTCAAAAAACCCAACCAACTAACCAACCAAAAAACCCAAAACCCAGCACTGAACTCTTGTCTCAAGCCTTGGATCTGACAGATGGGTAATGCCACACCTATCTCTGATGCAAGCTGCACACATTTGATTTCTAAGCAGGCTGCTAACTAAGCTATATATTTGCTGTGGTATCATTGTTTGTGTGCAGAAGCTGTTTTCTGTGCTATTTCTGTATTTACACCCACCTGCTTTTTGTTTTCCATCACATTCTTATGAAGCCTGTTGAGATGGTGGATACTTGCTTCTGGAATGTTGCTTGTTGCCCTTAGCTGCATCCTTGTAGTGAGTTACCTGACCCTTTGTTCCCTTGCCTAGCACACTTATCTGAGAAAGGACAGCTTGTATGATGCAGGTGGGTCTTATGGGAGAGAGGAGGCTACCCAAAGTTAAACCCATGAGACATCTCTAGGTAAAATTAAGCACCCTTCCATCACCATTGCAGGACAAGAATAAGTGTATTTTACAAAGGAGGTACTCCTTTCTTCTTCAACCTGATGTGCCTTTAGGCTATGCCTACACAGCAGGTGTTACTTTGGAGTAACTGATGTTATTCCGAAATAACACAGTCCCCGTCTACACAGCAAGCAGTTATTTCGTAATAATGGCAAAATAATATCGAGCTGGAGGACTTCTTACGCCAACTCCTGTAACCCTCATTGTATGAGGAGTAAGGGAAGTCGGAGGATATGTGCTCTTTCTCAGACTTCTTGCTGTGTAGACAGCACCAAAAGCTGAAATAAGCTATTTTGACTTAAGCTATGCAATTGACGTAGCTCAAGTTGCATAGCTTTTTTCAGCTTTAGCCCTGCTGTGTAGATTTGCCCTTAGGCTATTCTGATCTTAGTTACACCAGAGTAAATGTGGATTACCTCTACTGATGTAGATCTACTCTAGATTGGTGGTGAACGAAGTCTCAGATATACTTGCACATAAAACTGTTTGCACACCATAGCGTGGCCCACCGTATTAACATGTGCATCGCTCAGTAATATCTCAGGGTCTTATTCCAATCTCACAAGCAAGGCAAAATTGAAGTTACTCCATGGAAGTCAATGCAATATAAAAGTGGCATGAGATCCAGATCAGGGGTCTCATGCCTGAATGAATGCAAAGCCAGTTCAAATTATGCTGCTTTACTGCTTGCCTCTTTTTCCTGACCTCCTAACATTTGAGGTACAATTTATACCACTTTTCACATCATCACTGAACTTGGTCCCATCTCTTTTAAAGAGAGGAGTCCATGTTTCAAATAATAAATTGTGGTTTCTCAGAGGAATAGAACTCCTGAGCAAAATCTGAATGAGGAATTCAGGATTTGACCCAATAATAAATTAAGCAAGCAAGCAACCAAATAAGAATTTAGGAATTTGCTTTCATTTAAAGTTATGAAGAGGACCACAAATGTTTCCAGTTAAAGTAAAAACATAAAAAACAACGAATAGTCTGGTAGCACTTTAAAGACTAACAAAACATGTAGATGGTATCATGAGCTTTTGTGGGCACAGCCCACTTCCTATGTTCATATGAAAGCTTGTTCCTAGTGAATCAGCATAATATACATATTTAATTTTTTTCCAGTTACCAGAAATAGCCATCTTGATAGTTTCACGCTATCAGTATAATGAGATTGCTGACCTGTTCTGCCTTTGCAGCGAGCTGTGTTCTGTAAGCCTCCACTCTCCACTATGACTGCCACCTCATACTGTCTTCCTGGGATGAGTCCTATATCCTGGATGTCATATTCCCTTCTGTCTTTCTCTAGTGTAGCGTTCAGCAGCACAGAGGAGAGGTTGTACAACACAATGTAGTATCTCTCCCAGTCTCCAGCAGGGGGCAGCCAGCTCACTCTCAGAGATTTCAGCCAACCACTGCTAGCTTTCAACTCTGAAACTTTCTGGGGAACTGAAATACAGACATAGGTGAGTAATTTTGTGTTTTTAATGGGAAGACATAACTAGACAGCAGTGAAAAATGACTCATAGCTCAGCCATCACTGAAGTGCTTTGATCCATTATAGTAGCACCAAGGGCCAGATTTTTCACCTGTCAATGGGAGTTAGGTTCTTAAGAATTTAAATCACTTTTGAAAATGAGCTTTATGGTACAAAGTCAGTTAGACATTGCATCTCAGAATCTAAATGCCAATTGCTAAGTACATTTACAAAACTGGGCCAAAGTGACAAGATGTAGATCATTTGAGAGAGAAATTTACCCACTTCCACACAAAGAATTGTCAGTTACTGACATCAGAAATTCTGAACCTAAAATCAGAGGTTAGAGAAAGTCTTATGCAACTTCAGAATGAATCTTGCATCATTTTAAGTTATTTTTCCTGCTGTTTTCTGTAGTTATTTAACACAGATCAACTTTATTAAACGTTTTTGGATGTGTGTGTGAGAGAGAAGGAGAAAAAGAGAGAAGGAACTTTGGTAGATTTTTCAGTCTGAGAAGTCAGATAAGATGAATAATAATTATACAATAAATAAACCCAAAACCAGAGTTCCTGCTAAGCTGCATGGCAGCACAACTTCACAGCTGATTAATCAGCCCTGCCCAGTCAGAGGCTCAGAGCTCCATGCAGGGAGCTGACTGACTGGGTGGGGTTGATTAATCACTTGTGAATCTGTGCTGCACCGCAGCTTAAAAGGTACACTGCCCAACACTGCCATGTACTTTAGTCAGTGCTTTACTACTGTGAGCAGTCAAAAGGGCTTAGATTTAATGAGCTATGCATAGGGTCAGGATCTTGCTTACTTCATTCTCCTCCAAACATAATCAAACGATCAAGATCTTAACACTGATAAATCAGAACCAATATATATGAACCATCTCTAGGTGATTGAGACCTAAGACTGTGATTGAGACCTAAGACTGACTCATATCTGACTCATTAATGTTTTTCTATTCACAGATATATAACCATTGCAGGTTTTTATACATTGCCAATATTTTTAAATAATTTTTCACATGCATGCTTCCATTTACAGAAGCCCCATTTTCTCTCTCTCTCTGGGTTGTGTTCAAAATAATAAAACTGGGCAGAAACGATTGAATGTACCAGAACTGAATTGTTTTGCTGCAGACTCACCTAGCTACTGATTTCTATCTACAGCATGACCTCCTGTATATCACAGGCTACCAATACCAGCCACCACCCACACACTACACCCAACAACCAAATCTCAACAACCCCATATTGACTAGCAACCAAACACTCTTCTTTTCCAAGGTGATCTTCCACATGGCAATGTATTCTATGTGGTAGTTCAAAGTGGCTTTGATTACAATGTTTTTACTGGTGCACAGACTTACCTGTCCGGCCAGTTGCCATCTTATCAGTGAATAATTCACCACTGATTGTGCTGACAGTGACCTGATAAAGACTTCCTGGAGTCAACTTGTCAAACTGAACCTCTGTGACATGAGGCTGTAAAGTTTTGATTTCTTTAATAGCTCCAAGATGAGACAGAGTGATATTGTAGAAATTTAGGCTTCCTGGTGGCCTTTTCCATTTAACTTTTAATGTATCCAAGCTGCCATCACTAGTCACCATCAAATCAGAGACTTCTGCTGGGGCTAAAAAAAAGTGTAGCAAGAAAGAAAACAAAATGTTTCATCTATAGAACACACAATCCCTTTTCCCCACTACAGAAGCAAGGCATGTAGTTTGTTTTTTTTTAAAAACCCTATATTTAAGACCATTTATACCAAAAGTTGCACTACTAATGTTGCTTACTGTAACATCATCGCCGATCAAATATACGAGTCTCATCCTTATTTTCATTGATTGTGCATTTTGAATGTAAAGTCTGATAATGGCATGCACTGTTCAAGACTTCTGATAGCTGGAGAGGAGTTAGGAGTTCTGATAGCTGTAGTTTGACAGGAGTTATTCCTGACTGGCAGCAGTGTAAATGGGATCAAAATATAATTCTTTGTACAGTAAACTTCCGATAATCCGGCACCTTTAGGACCCAGGGGGTGCTGAATTATCAGATATGCCAGAGTACTGGAAGGGGGGCTATGAAGGGTCTGGGGTGGGATGGGGAACAGGGGTCGGCGGGGAACTGCACAGCGTGGGAGAGGGTGGTGCTGCAGGACCAACCGGGCAGCACCCCAGCTGCTCTGCCCCAGGGCTTCCCCAAGTCAGCTGCTGTTGAAACTGATCAGCGGCTGACTTGGAGAACCCGGGGGAAGAGCAGCTCCAATTGTTCGGCTGGCTGGAGCACTTCCGGGTTCCAGTTGGTGTCAGACTATCAGGAGTGCTGGACCACTGGATGCCGGACAATTGGAGTTTTACTGTAGTTTGAGAATTCACCAGATGGAGAGCAAGCCAACTACTCTTGTTTTCTGTTAGGGTTATTTTTAAAGATATCAAAAGTTACATTGACTCTTTTTTTCCTCCTTCCCCCCCCTAAAGTGATCATTTTGGCCCACAATATGCCACTCAAATTTTAAAATTTGGGGACACAACCTACTGTATGCCATGTGCCTAATTTCCATTTAAATCAAGAGGAGAGTTCAGAGAAGCTCAAAGTCAAGCTCTGTAACACCCCTCTCCAACAAAGCTACAGAAATATTTACCTCTAACTTTTCAGAAATGTTAAGCTCCTCATAAGTTCTGCAACTCACATCATTAAAATCAGCAAGACTCATGGCATTAAATCCCATACAATGCTATGAAAGAATGGGGCTATATGCTGCCTAGATTCAGGGATGTAACACTCAGCTGGGCTCACATGAAGCTTGACCACAAATCACACTCAGAATTATGAACTGTAGTGCCCAGTGTAGGTCAGACCAAACAATCCCACTTATTATTTCGAAATGGAGCCTTACAGCTTTACTGTGCATTACTGGTGAAATCATACCTGTCCTAACCAACTTAAAGCTGTAGCTCTGTAGCCCGGCAGCTTCAGCTATTATAGTGAGATTATAAAGGTGTCCTGCTGTAAGTCCAAGAAAAGTGTACGAGGTTAAGCGTTCCTCATGGTTGATCTCACGAACTAGTCGTTCTACATCCAGTAATACCAGCCTGTATCGATCCACATTCCCAGAGCCAGGTAACCATGAAACGTGGATAGTGTCTGTCTTGACACTGATCTGAATGTTTTGCACAGGTGACGGTGCTGGTAAGACAAAAAACATTTATTTTACAAGTAATGGTTTTCCTCACGATCTGAGCAAGACTGAACTGTTCTACTTTGCAAAGATTTTGAGAGTATTTAGGGTTTGCCAAACTGGACCTGTCAACATTTCTTCCTACTAAGAAAATGTCTTAAATTTAGTTAGAAATTCAGTACTTGTTAAATTCTATTTATAACCTACATTAACAATTTGTAAGATTAATGAAGACTGAATAAATTCATAACTTGCTATAGGAGAAATGTACACACACACACACACACACTTTTTGAAATGCTAAGCCTTAAAATGCATGTAAAAATGCTCAGTGGTCTTCTTTAGATGAACTACTGTAAAATAGGTCTCACCAGTAGATCCGCTGATATGAACTGCCGAGGTGCTTTTATTTCCAGAAACTGCAGTGATGATAACATTGTATTTGCTCCCAGGAGTAAGATTGGAAAATGTCTCTTCTGTTCTTGAAATACCACCTCGTATTGAGACATTCTGTATCTTTTTATTATGATGATCAGATAATTGTAGCTCATACCAGTCCACTTTTCCTGGGGATGGACTCCACCAGACCTGCAAGCTTGTGGATGTAGTTTTTTCCTTCTTAATTTCAAATTTAGCTGGTGGTAAAGGATCTGTAATTGCAAATAGCAGTATTGGATTTTAGAAGAGTTTTACAGATTAGCCCAAACAACTCCAACAATTTCCCAATTTTTCATCATTCCACGGTAAGTTTTTATTGAAAATTCTTTATTACATTTCCAAATTGCACTGAAAATACAACTACTCTTTCTACATGATGGTCCTGGAGAACTCATATTGAAGAAAAGTGCATGCTTCAATGTGTGTAAATAGTGAGCTTCAAAATATGTAGACAACAAAACTATTGGCACCACTATATCAGAAACAGTCCTGGAGTCATAATGTCTCAGGATATTGTAGCCTAGAAATATTAGTGCACCAATGGCATTAGCTTTCATGTGCTTATGTCAGATGATGAGGGTTTTTAGTTGGATGCACAACAGCAACACTATAAATAAATATGTATTTGATACATATTTCAGCATTCCCCAACTGCTCAGTTGGACACAAAAAGTGAGTATATTTAAGTTCTGAAAGATGAAAGCACAACTTAAGTTATAATAGTATTTTGGTTTCTGCTACTGTCTTCAAACAGTTCAAGCAGCTTCTGACAACACATATCCACTCTTCTATTGGAAAGGTTTCCAATATCAAAAGAATTGCCCTGCACACTTTGTCTGAAACAAACAAAACTACCTTATATAAAACTTTTAAAGAATGTATAACTAAATGTATTCTTTGAGAACATGGCAAATTAAATAGTCATCTTGGGCAAAATGCTTGAGTGAAAGCTTTAGGTTCCAAAATGACAGCAAGTATACACCAAAATTAACAGACTTCTGATTGTTGAAAAGGTAAGAATCCAAAAGTTAGGATGTGACTGTATTTACTCTGCCTTAATACATATGGGCTACGTCTACACTGGCCCCTTTTCCGGAAGGGGCATGTAAATTTCACCAGTCGTCGTAGGGAAATCCACGGGGGATTTAAATATCCCCCGCGGCATTTAAATAAAAATGTCCGCCGCTTTTTTCCGGCTTTTAAAAAAGCCGGAAAAGAGCGTCTACACTGGCCCCGATCCTCCGGAAAAAGTGCCCTTTTCCGGAGGGTCTTATTCCTACTTATTCTTATTTGAACTTCAAAGTAGGAATAAGACCCTCCGGAAAAGGGCACTTTTTCCGGAGGATCGGGGCCAGTGTAGACGCTCTTTTCCGGCTTTTTTAAAAGCCGGAAAAAAGCGGCGGACATTTTTATTTAAATGCCGCGGGGGATATTTAAATCCCCCGCGGATTTCCCTACGACGACTGGTGAAATTTACATGCCCCTTCCGGAAAAGGGGCCAGTGTAGACGTAGCCAAAGAGTGTGGTAGAGCCAAAAAGAGATCCCATCTGTGCACGGTACCAGCCCAGTGTATCAAATCCCTCAAAACCCATCCTTTCCCGTCTTTTAACCCACTGCGTCATTCACTGTACACAGCAAGGAAGGAAGGGATACTATAGAACATATGGGCAATTTTGAGTCAAGCATTTCCTACCTTTTCGAGTGCCTGACATTGTACACTTAATATTTTAATGTAATTTCTTGTACATAAACTTTAGAGTTTTTTAAAAACAAATTAAGCCCTCCATAAAATCCACATGGACCCATCCATAGGGGTCCACTTCAGGCTTATGCACACAGGGCATGAAGGGAGTGGAGTGGCTCTGAGGAGATTTCTTTATAGCAGGCATTTCGTATGGCTAGTATACATGGCTGTATGGTGCTGTCTGGGATATGGTAGTGCTAAGGGCAGGGCCAGAGGGGGGCATGATGGGTAGTGGCCTGAGTATACTCTGCACATAGGAAAGTGTGGGCTGTGAAGAAGCCTGGAGGCAGCCAGATAAGTCTACTGCAAGAGCATCCTTTGGGTCTGCTCTTATCGGGAGGAGGGGGTAGGGGATGCACAGGCTGCTAGAGCAGACTAGAGTCTAGGACAGGCCTCCACAGGCTGGATACAACCCACCAAGCCACCGGATCTGGCTTACAGATGCAGCGGGAAGCCTCAGGCGACTCCCTGACTGCCCCCCACATGCTGCTGAGAAAAGCGACCCTTGAGTGGCTCTATCTGAACAGCTGTGAGCCTGGGGGAGGGAGGAGAGGCTTCGTGCAATGCCCCCCCCAACACAATCCCATTGGCGAGTTTCCGGCCAATAGGAGCTACGTGTTAACAGTCTCATAGCTGTTCAAAAACCACATGGCCCCTGAAGCCACTGTGGGGTGGGGCATGGCATGAAGTGTCCCTCTACGCCACATAACCCAAACCCTCTCCTCCCCCCCTACACCTATATCCCCTCTCAGATCCTGCACCCTACTCCCCTGGTCACAGCCCAAACTCCTATATCACCTCCTACACCCCAGTCCTCTGCCCCAAGTCACAACCACCTCTTAACCTAGGTCACAGCCCAAACCCCTCCACCCTCTCCTGCACCCTAGTTCTCTTCCCAGGTCACAACCCCCTCTTGCCCAAGGTCACAACCCAAATCCCTGCACCCTAGTCCCCTAAGCCAGGTCACAACTGCCTCATTCCCCCAAACTCCGTCCCACACCCTCTCCTGCACCCAGACCCTTACTGCAAACTCCCTTCTGCACCCAATCTCAATCCCAGACCCCATACCTCCTCCATTAATATGGAAGAGCCTGGCACTTGGCCACTTTTCAAAATCTTGGCATGTCTCCCCATCAAAAATTATTGCCCACCCCTGGTCTAGAAGGCACAAAGGTAGCTTACCTTTGCCCTCTCTGCTGGGATGTAAGTTTTAGTGCAGCCCAGAAAGAGGCTCTGGATTTGATTTTCAACTTCTTAAGTGATCTTGTGTAATCACTGTTACCCTATCTGTAAAATGGGAGGAAATGGTACTTGCCAGGCTTCTAACATGAAGCCTTGCTCAGCAATAAGGGCTGTGAAGAACTGAGACTAGAACTCAGTCTCCATTTTGGGTCTGGCACAACAGTTCTCACCCCCCAGCCACTACTATTGTTGCTTCTGTCCTGCCCTCATCCCACCTCAAACTCTTACCTGGGAGCATGCTCAGGGGCATTTGCCTGTGAGGGAGCTTTTTAGGGTTGGAGCATGCTCAGTACTGATGGACTGTTGAGAGATTTTAACCACTCTCTGACAAGCTCTGCTGAGCATATGCAAATGGTGATTTTGACACATGAACTAGCCTGATAGGATAAGAATTTCAGAGGAAAGCACAAGGCAAATCTCTGAACTGAGGACTCTGCAGAATTTCAAGTTGCTGCTCTAAAACCTCACAGGCATTAAAGCATTTCAAATAAAGGAAGAAAACTGAAATTGACAGAGTTACCGATTTTTTTCTTAACCTTTTGGAAACAATTACCTGATTTTGCTGAAATTAAATAAAATCCACCTGAGGCAAAGTACAAACGCAGAAAGTCTCAAGCCAAGCAGTAAAAAGCTGCAGCGATTGAAATAGAAGGTTGTCATGGAAAGTATCAGGCAACCTTATTTATAAGACTTTGCTACCAGCTTCACCTATAATATATAATAATCCATTTAAGACTATTATCCAGAAAATAGCAAGAAAGTAAAACTATTCATTGAAAATAATTAGTTGAATCAGAAAAAGTCATAATTTAGGAGTCAGAATCAAACATTAGCATTGTGTAAAATAAGAGATACTTGAAATTCTACAGACTGACTATAAGTGGAGAAGAACCACAGGTGATAAATGGAAGATATTTCATTCATAGGATTAGACTGATTGCAAAAGTAATCAGCATTGCAATCATGCTTCTTGACGAATCATATAAAAATAATAGCATAGTATTATTTTACATTCTATATTTTCTCCATAATGTACAGTCTGATGGATGTGGAATTTCTAAGGTGTATTTTTAAAAAAGTTGCGTGCCTAGAAGGTGAGGTTCAGAAATTCAGACTTTATCTAATCTATCTGGCCCAGAAAACAAAACATTCAGTCCTTTGTACATCCGCTAGAACAAAGGAACAATGAGATTGGGAAATGCCTGGGCTGAAAGAGCTTTGGCTGGAAACAAACACTTAAAAACCATTTACATTGTTATAAAATTTTCTGCTGGCAACTATCCCACACTGATATATCACAGAAATAAAACATTTTCATGAAGATATTTTTATACTACTCCATAATGAACAAATGCCTTCAAAATCATAGAATTAACAAATTCATCTGGGATTTTAAGTTTTTAAATATTCTAGTCACTAATATCTTAGCTGTGAGTTTGTTTTTAGTAAAAATATAAACTATACATGCACAGTCCCTGCATGCACATTTATTAACAGACTATTTCTGATTACATCTGCAGATTCTCAAAGACATGATGGATTGCAATTATGGAAATAAAATATATTATCCTTGAGAAAGATATGATCTAGGATGTGAGCACAGGACTAGGAACTCAAGTTCCATTTCTCAACTCTTTGTGGCATTCAGCTAATCACTTAACCCTCTTCCCTCCCCCTCCCATCACTGTCTCTCATACTTACTTACCACATAGGGGATTTGTGAAGGTTAGTTAATGGGCTTGATCCCACAGTCCTTAATAGGGTTGCCAGATGGTTTAACCAAAAATACCGAACATTCTCTACCCCCGCCCTCCCCCAAAAAACCCACCGGGGAAAAGATTCTGTTGAGGGAAAAAAGGAGGGAGGGGAGGAGACCAAAGTTGTTAAGCAAAAGCAAAAGCAAAAAAAAAAAAAAAAAAAAAAAACCCCAAATAAAAAAGCATAGCCCTTTTAAGTGCAGAGTCAGAATAGGGATAGGAAGATGATATGTTGAGCACTAACCCAGGGAAGGCATTGCTTCCCTTTGCTCAGGTCTTTAGGCTTTTTGCCAGCAGCCATCTTGTTTTCTTGGTCGAGCCAAAAGGTCCGGGGGTGGATGTCCGGAAGCCCGGGTGCGGGCCCAGTTGCTGAGTGTGTCATAGGGTTGCCAGGTGTCCAGTATTTTCACCTCCTGGCAGGGAAAAACCCCAGAAAATACCGGACATTTTAGGTGTCCGCTATTTTCT